ATCTTTCATTGTGCCTAAAGAGGTCAGAAGTTCAGAGCAGTTCGTGTAGATAGCCTGGCTGAATGTAAATATGCTCATCAGTTTTAGTGCAAAAAGCCTGTGAGAAAAAATTGATAATCTTCTTCCCACAAGTTTTGTGTGTGCAAGCATGATACTTGCCTACCACTAGCATTTGTACTGTCACAGAGTGTTAATGAAAAGCACAAATACATGAGAATGCAGCCAAAGCCAGTTCAGAGAAAGAGTGGATGAATGTTTGTAGGAAATTCAATGCTTCTCTCATCCATCACTATTCACATTCCCTTCCTTGCCTGCAGGTAGAGGCACAGAGACTTATTGGATGGGATTCATCTTACCTAACTTTAGACATATATAGTGTGGATATCTCTATCTCAGCTTGTTGTCTAGACTCTTGTGAAACTCAATAGAGAGAAGCAGGCATTTCTAAGCCCAATTTATCTGACCTGTTTTAGACACCTTCTTTGGGAAAAGATGAAGCTTTCCCTAAAATGGTCTATTTCTCTTTAGTGACTTAAGGACAATTTAGGGTGTTAAATCAGTGCAGACGTGTACGTTGCACTATCTACATGTGGTGAATCCCACCCCTCTAGCACATTTGATAATATTTTTCCCATTGTTGGATGAGCTTAAAGGGACCTTTTTGGCCCCCAAATTACCCAATATTCTCCTGGGCTTTCCTCCCTCCCCAAAAGTGACATCAGTTATATAGAACAGTTATTTCTTTGGTCTAAACCTGTTTCCTTGACACAGGCAGAGGCAATTTTTCAGGTCAGGTTTCCAGACCAGCCTGCCAGCAGCCTTAAGACACAGGGAGTGCTGCCACTGCTCACACCTGAATGTTCCATACGTCCCCTCCTCCCCACTGCTCTCCATGCACTCGCCTGTTGCTGCCTGCCTTTCTGAGCCAGGCCCAGGGCACCTCTCTGCCTGTCTCTCTTCTGCTGAGGATTATGGTGCTTCAGCCCACACACTTCTGATAGGGCTTTGGATAATGGCTTTTGCTGTTCCTGCTGTCACTATATGAGAGCCATTTAATTGCATCTTCCATTCAGCCTGAATAAAGGGTGAGTAGGACATCTATTTGCTTTGACCAGGCTTGTGATTGATGCAACTGTTAATATTATCCAGCGTAACACAATCTTCCCTCACCTCCCAAGGATGCTCTGTGGGTAACATGTCCCTGTGTAACTTTTTCAAGGACAGACAGAAAGTGGTATAAAAGGTGAGAGATGGCAGTGGAAATGCCAGTGAGCCTCTGCCCCTCTGCTGAGGTGTTACCTCTTCCCAGCGTCTGTCCCACCTTCCACAGCTGCCTTTGGCGTCAGCAGAAAAGGTGCTGTTTCCTTGCTCAGCAATCATTTCTAATGGACCACTGGCAAATTCTCTGTGCAGATCTGCCTGCAATGTCCTAGGGTCATCTTTCCCCCTGGGAGAAAGCCAGAAGAAACACCTTCTGCTGCTAGGCATATAATGAGCTTTCATTCTTTCAGGTAAAGTTGAGGGAAGTTATCTTCTCAACAGGCCCTATACTGAGTAATCCTCTGCCACTTGCCTTGACATGGTGAAGGTGTCAGGGATGGCAGGTCCCTCTTCCTTACCCTCACTCCAATCAGACACCATGCCATATGCTTTCCCCAAAGCTGGGCAGAAGGAGAAGACCCCTCTCAGTCCTAGACGTGTGTCTTTGGAGGCAACAATTACACCCAGAGTATAAAAAGCATAGCACAATAGTAAAACCAGTCCAACTTGTATTACATTAATGGTGCCACATAACAGCATTTAAGCTCTCCTTCAAAAGTCCTGGGAAAATATATCAGGAGTAAGGAGGCAGGAAGGGAAGGAAGGGACCAAGAAAGAGGCTGTGACTATAACCATCAGTGGAGACACAGAGCTGTCAGGGAGGCTCTTGGGATCAAACTTCTTTACTCCCTGTTCTGCACAAATCCACCCCTGGGCCTCACCACAGAGCGTATATAACTCTGTTTCCCTTTTTAGCAACCTCAGTGGAACTGGTTGCATTCAGAGGTTTTTGGTTAAAGACCACCACAGAGTTACAGCAGTTTACACATGCTGCAGGGTTGTCCTAACACAACACACAAATAAGCACAGTTCATAAATAGCAGTCAAACCACAAATACCTGCAAATGTAGGGGTGCTGCAACAAGGTAAACTGAGCATAGCAGTGGCAACACAGGCAGGAGATATCCTATACTATGAGGACTGCTGGTGCAAGACCTGGCTGCTGCACTGCAGATGTTGGCTGTAATGTGGCCAAGATGCCTTGGTCAAAACAGCCAGGGAAGCAAAAAACCTCCCATCATTTGCACACAGGGATTCAGTGGCCTTACCTTCAGCATAGAAACAATCTCATTACCTTTGTGCAGTCAACAAGCACTCCTATCAATAGGAACATATCTCGGATACCCTAAAGTGTCATTAGTCATTCAAGAATCAGCAATAGATGGTAAGCAGGACTGGATGGCTACGTACTATTGCAGTCAGTGCCATTGACTGTGTAGGACAGGACAGAGACAAGCTTCCTTAATACACATGCTTTATTTTTGTGTTTGATTTCTGACGAACACCAATGCTCATGATGGTATATATTCTATAGCCTCTGGCTTTGTTTTGGGATGTTCTGCCCAGTATGTTTTGCTCTGAGCACTGGGCTTTTTCCCTACCAACATCCTGAAGTGTGCATCAGCCTTTGCTATGCGGCTCCTGCTGCCATAAGAAACAAACCAGGATCAGGCCAAGCAGACTGGTCTGTGACTTGCTGCCAGAGACAGGCAGAGTGTCTGTCCTCACCTGCCTCCTCCAAGGTCCTCAGTACCTCTATCTTCTGCCACTTGCTTCCCACTACCTATTGCAAATGCTCACAGTCCTGTGCTGTATTATTTGGAGCAGATCATTCTACTCTTTTGGACCCCTCCCAAATATTACTATCTACAATGAGATGAGACTGGGAAGTGCTGAAAAAATCCTTAGTGCAAAATATTTATTTTTAGTAGAAAATAACAGAAGAAATAGACTAAACATTTTGGAAGCTTTTTAAAAATTATTAGAAGAGCTATAAGCCTAACAGGAATCTTTGCAGGAAAATGGGAAATACAATAGCAGTGGGAGGCCCAAGGGAGATGAAGTTTAGAAACTTAGAGAATTATTGTAAAACTATCAATCCTGGGATATAGAAAGATAATTTAGATACTGTAGAGCCTCACAGTGGCTTTCTGCTATTTCTGTCATAATTTTCTGCCATGTTATTTTCTGTCAAGCCTCACAATATTTCTATAATGACTAACCCATTTGTTTCCCCAAAACTTATCTTTGAAAATTATACACAAGGTCAGAGTTACACAATTGAACGTTCCATTTATTATCAGGAACAAGAAAATCTGTCTGGGCCACATCACCAGTTGTAGCTGTCCACCTAATAGGATGAAATAGGTTGCAGAGAAAGTAACTGAGCACTGAAGAGAGGCACTGCAGGTGACAGAAGAAGAGTGATAGGAGTAAGATCAGCAAAACTAAAAGGAAAAGAAGATATATCATTGGCAACAAAACCAAATCAAGCTAATGTCTTCTCAAAGCAAGAAGGGTAAAATAGGGTGACTCGGTAAATGAAATCACTTGATGGAAGATCTCTGTAGCAGATCACTTTATTCATAAAAAGATCTGATTGATATTCTTTGCAACTGCAGTTCATCCCAATACACAAGCATTTTTGAAGTGACAACAATAAAATTCCACCTATCTAGTAAACACTTTCATTCCTAAAATGTGCCAATACCACAGGTTGCAACTTTTATTGTTAGTGCTTTCCTGCATGTCTGTGTGCTGCTGCGTCTCCCAGTCTGGCACGCAGAAGCATCACAAAGCGAGCTGAACTATTTACTAGAGCTTGTCACAAAATATAGCTCAGCTCTGAAACCCTGTGTTGTGGGACAGTCCCACTGAAGTTGACAAGAATGTTGGTGCCTCATGAAAGCACCAATGGTGAAAACGTGACTAAGGACATGCTTCAGGGCTCATTTAAGTGATGTGATGTGTTATGAATCTCGTATCGGTAGAGGGCCTATCTTCAGAAGGGGTGTAATCAATAAATCAGGTGCCAATTGTATTTATTCAATTTGTCAACTTGTACTCCACTCCAGCGTGCCTGGGCCAGTGAAGAGGGCTGGTGCTGTCTTTGCTGGACCTTTCACGTGATCAATGCTGAGTTAGGGTTTCCTGTCTGGAAGCTCAGAGAAACTCAGCTCCATCTCTTCCTTCCAGAGGGAGAAGGGAACTGGAAAGAAATTAGCAATAGGAAATCCCACCCATGGGAGTCAGGGGACCACGAAATGCCAACGCAGGGTGCAGCGTGCTGCTTGTCAGGGACAAACCAAGGAAATCATGCCCCAGTGCCCAAGCAAAAAGATCAGGATCTTGGGCTGGGGATCTCCTGGAGTTTGGTTAGGTCTGTTGAATGGCTGAAACTCTGAAGCAGCATTGAAAGTGCAGTGCTGGTAATTTTGGTTGGCACATGGCAGGTACACAGGCAGAGTGGGAGATCCAGGTAACTTAGAGTGCATCAAGAAATAGTAATTGTGCTGTTGAGAGATTTCTTCACCTCGTACTGAAGAATTATGTTATTACAGACCTGATGCAATACACATTGAAGTCCAGGGGAGACTTAACACTGCACTCAGTGTGCTTTGGATCAAGCTTCAACATCCCGCTTACTAATTCACAGCAACCATGTTCCCTTTCCACACCAAACACATGCTAATACCAGCCCATATTTCCTGCAGCCACCTGCTGCCCCATCACTCCTCAAGCTCACAGCAGCAAGGCTGTGGGGCTGCCTAGCTGCCTGCTGCTGGTGCAACCCCATACTCCATACACCCCAAAATATTCACCCATCTCCAGGCACAGTCTGAGACATCAACCAGAACACCAGCCAGGCTTGGAAATAGCTCTCTGCAAATTTAAGAAGTCTGAGAGATTTTTGTGTTTATAAAAAAGAGAAATCAGGTGAAATAAGCCTGAGAGACTTACCTTGCATTTAGACCTGGATTATTGTTTGTGCTGTTTTTCCTCTCCATTCTCCTGCACACATATGGTGACGGGGGGTAAAATGGGGGAAAATAAGAGCTGTAAGAAGTGTAATTGATGGCAAAAGAGGTCCAAATGTGTGCACCAGATCCAGACAGTCTCCAAAATGTAATCCTTGTTTGTCTATATGATGGGAATAATTGCCTTCCTCACAGGGGTACTGGGAAGATCAATAAATAGTTAATGTTGGTCTAGGGAAATGCACAATGCCTGCAGTGTAAATCAGAAGTAACCCATTGAAATGCATGTAGTTACATATGGATAGACCCAATGTAAAAATGAGCAGATGCAATTTCCTTAAAGAACAGTGGTAGTTGCCCTGTAAACACTTTCTCCTGTGCGTGAGGCAGAGAGTGGACTTCAGACAAGATTCTGTGCTGGTGTAAATCTGCATCATTTAATTGACACTGCTGGCAGTATATGAGCTTAAACAAGAGCAGGCTCCAGCCCCTGGTATCTGCTGGCCACAGAGCCTTTAACCATGCCTGTAGCTTTCCCTTTGCACACTCTCCTTATTCTGGCTTCAAATATCTCTATTCCAGAGACCCCAGTATCTCATCGGTGTTTTATTTTCAACAGATTAGAACAGGCAACACCAGTGTGGGGGTTAGTTTTTAATTGTTCATATATTTTTCAACTGTCATGCCCTCAAGGTTTCATACTAAGTTTTACAGAGTTATTCTGGAGAAAGTACCTGTTCCCTATGCATAAGGCCAGCTTCTCCAAAGGAAAACACGTACAGCTTTCGGTGCAGACACCTCTAGCCATACCTCTGAAGTATGTCTATGATGATCTATTCCAGCTTGTAATATTAGGGAATAATACAGCAATTTCTGTGATACTGTAAATTCTAGTCAAGAAATGAAATGCTGAGGGATAGTGATTAAACTGGAGCAGCTGTGAAGGGTGCTCAGTGGAGATGAGGGGTGAGGACAGTGTCTTGCTTTGGTCCAGCCAGCCAGGCTGAGTCTGTGCATCCTCTAGGAACATGAAGGCAGGTGATGGCCCACAAAAGGCATTTTTGCCACAATCAGGGCAGTCTCTAAGGAGATAAAGGAGCAAAAATTCCTGTGAATCTAAGCTGAGCCAAAGGACTGTTGTAAAAGGGGGATAAGGAGAATATAAATAGATGCCTGGTCTGAGCAGAGGTGTTGAGCACTCAGCCCCTGCAACCCCACAGCCTGGAAACCTGATTAATCCCCACAGGTCTTCTAAGGGAAGAAAGGAGCCATTTCCAAAGGGATTCTCCTTCCCCCCTTTTGTCTGAGTGGAAATACAAATGTATGAATACATACATTTGCCTGTATGTATTCCCCCAGGGAGTGGCAAAGGGGAGGCTTGCACATGTGAGTGCAGAGAAGTGATCTCCTGAAAGGATACCAAGGCTGCATATTTTGATTGCCAGCTCTGTAGGCTGCTGTTTGATTTTCCTCTCCTGCTCAGGTATGGGCACTTTGAGGGAAAGCTGGGAAGCAGGAAACAAATAGCAGTGCTTTTCACAAAAGTTATCTACAGTGGAACCTCTGTCAGTCCTCTGCAAGATTGTATTTACAGAGGACAGCCTCTTACCTGTTAATGTCCCTTTTATCCTGCCACGCCATTGTGTTTGCTGTCTGACCAAGTGTTACTGCTGCTCTGGCAGCCAGAGGTATGAGGAGGATGAAGAAGAGTAAGAAGGTGAACCCAAACTCACCTAAAATACATTCCAAGGGACTCCAGCAAGGCAAAGCATCAGCATCACTCCACACTGGGGCTGGCCCTGAAGCCAGGGTGAGGTGGACCATGGGAAATCGCCCCCCAGCTGAGGAAGAGTGTGGCCACCAGCAGCAAGTTTCCCACTGTCACGGCTGAGACATAGCTTAGAGGCACCACCTCAGACACCAGAAAGAGCAGCCTCTCACTCACTCAATGCTTGCCTCTCTGCGGAGAACGATAAGCCAGATTGCTTTTTTGTGATGTGGACATCTGACCACTGGGAGCTGTCTGGAAACTGCACTAATTTCTTGCAAGGCTCTGAACCAGCCTCAGCCAGGAATAACTTTCAATCACTGCTGACCTGAGCTGCATTTGGACTGGCAACTAGGGGGTGGAAGGCAGTATATGTCCCTTCTCCAATTCAAACCTATGAGCTATCAAATGCCCCATGGGACTCTGAAATTCATGCAACATATCTATTAAAGCATGCAGAGGTTTGCACTCACGCAGATGAGTGTGTGGTCAGGAAGTGTGCCCATTTCTGGATTGACTGAGAAAAGAGGGAATTCCTCTGACCCAGTGTAAATCAAGGAATCGCAGTTAGAAGCAGCGATTAGATGCATTTCAAACACCTGTTAATGACAGGGAAGGATCTGAAGGGAAGCAGCAGAAGTTTTTAGCTAAGATGAACTGGCTGGATAGGCAGGGATCTGCTGGCTTTCCTGAGGAAAAGGAGACAGGAGGCAGAGAGTGGGAGTGGAGGTGTGTATTCCAGGTAGGGAGAGGAAGAAAAGCCTGGCACATTTGCCAGTAGCAAATTGGGCTCCCGCATGGTCTAATTCCTGCTTCACCACAGACTGCTAACACAGCTTGGATAAAAAGGGAAAAAGGGAGAAAAAAATCTATGCAGGAGGCTGCAAGAGCACATAGAGTCTGTTCTGAGCTCCTTCCACAGGCAGACAGAAATCAATAAATCAATAGGAAATGTTCGCTGGCTGTAAAATGGGTAGAGAAGCCAGTGTCAAGCTGCTTTAAGATGGATGGACAGTAGGTTTGCAGTTTGCAGAAAGGCTAGAGGTGACTATCACCTTGAGATGGGATCAGCGGCCAGCAGCCCAGCAAGGCTTTGAACCTCGAGTTTATGATTAAGGGCTGGGGCACGGATTGAAATACTCCAGTGTCCCCTGTACAGCCCTCCCGGGCTCTGCTGGCTCTCCTCCTCGGCGGCACCGGTGCGCTGGCAGTGGGGCCCGGCAGCTGCCGGCACTGGCCCTGCTGTGCCACTTCATTGAAGTCGAGGCTACAGAAGACTGAATAAAAATTGACTAGATGCCTGGTGGTAGTGAGGATTGATTGAAGACGGGCAGGGGTTTTCTACCCCACAGTTGGATTTTTTCCTTCCTATGAAGGATTTGACATAATGTAGACAACAATTCCTATTCAGAGTATTGCACCTTCATTCTGTCCTTAATGAGACAAGCACCAGGACACGAAGCAGTGCCAATGTTGCTTAGGGAAAGCTGGCATGAGTGGCATCCTTCTTTTCTTTTAAAGGCAAATTACTTGCAGGGGGTGGGACAGCTGTACTTGCAGCAGGCTTGCTGTGTGTCTCCATGTGGCCATTCAGGTCCAGAGGGTGACTGCTCTTCAATGCGTATTTTTCAAATGCAGAGATGATCTTCACTGTAGTGTGGCTCCTGCAGAGACAGACAAGCAGTCTAGCTTCAGGCTTCCCCACTTCCACAGCCTTCCCTCCAGGACTTGCATTTCTTTCGGTTTCCATGAACTGCTGCTTATCCTGTTCTTTGAGGATAGATGTGCCCTCTTAACCTCTTGTAACCGAGACTCTCTTTTCATAGCCCTCAGAAGCAACAGATTTGGGGCCAGCTTCTTGTTCTCACCAAATAAAACTATTGCGATACCACCATTGCCACATGTATTGGGCATTACTATTGCTTCTGTGCAGGTCTGCTGAAAGGTGTGCCCATCACCCAGATGCCCAATACTGGGCAGGATCTTAGGCAATGCAGTGAGGGGGATTTCTGCCCAAGGCTAGCATTATACCAGATTCCTTTCTTTCATTTATCTGCAGGTTTTCCAAGACAGACTTCAGCTTGTATGTGCAGCATACACAGATGAAGTATAAAGGGTAGAAAAACTCCCAGGTTCTTTACTTACATTTAGTAGCTTAAGTTCATGTATTGACAACTAAATGTATATATTGAATTAGTATGCTTTGGTGCTAATAGTCTGACTTCAAGGAACTATACCCAAGAAATTTAAAGTTTAGTTTACAAGGTTTTTCTTTCATTCACTCTGGTAAGTCAACAGTCTGCTCTTTTTAAATAGAATTTGGGCAAGAAAATGCCAGATTTTGTGCATACATTATAATAGAATAAAAATTGAAGTCCCATTTGGTGAAATGGGACATGGTATGTTCCCTAAATGCTCCCCAGAAGTTACATGTCACATTTTTGTAATGCTAGTTAATCAAGAATTCCATTCTCTGGAGTGTTTTCTGATTCTTTATTTCACTCAGATTTACTAAGTCTTACAGTGAAACTCCCATTAACAAGCTCAACTAGGGCTCTGCAAGTCCAACAGCAATCTGAAACTGGGCACTCTGAGAGCATGAGGTAGTCGAGTGATTTTGGATAGAGAAGCCACAGAGATACTGTCTGGGGAGATCAGCAGGAGACAAAATGGGCTTGCTTGGCATAATGGAAACCATCTGTGAAGAGATTTTTGTCTAGTTGCCCACTTGTGAAAAACAGGAAATTCTGGAAAATTGGTATCATTGCTTTGGACTTCAATATCTGTCATATTGGGCTGTGCTGACCACTAACACTCTTTTGAGGAGAGAATAGGAGCATCCTACACCAGGCAAAAGAAAGGGAAAAGGCTACAAAAAGCCAGGTGCTCTGGCACTGCCCCTTCCTACAGGTTACATATGCAGGCCAGCTAGCTGGCTCCACAATGCTCTGATTTATTCCAGGAATGTTTATGGAAAGCTGCATGAATGCCACACATCGAAGCACAGCTTGGCATTTGGTGTCCAAAAAGGCAGACCTAGATGCACCAGCTATGGTTATTGGAGAAAGATCAAAATAAAAACCCCTCCACTTGTTAGTACTGCAAAATAATAAAAAGGAGCCGGAATAAAACCAACTGAGTAAATTAACTAATATAGAGTGCTAACAGTGGTGAAAGGGAAGGTTTGCTCTCCTTTAATTTCCTGTTAGTTTTCTGATTTAGCCTGTGTGATCCTCTGCAAAATATCCACTTGCTGTAAGAAATATAAGAAATGAGAAAATACATTAAGGGGGGGGAAATCTGCTTAATCTCTGTTGGATGGGCCAGTGCTACTGTCAAAGTTGGAGATGACAAAGGTGCGAATAGTGTTGGAAATAGAGACAGGCCTTGTCAATACTTAGCTGTTGCAGCAAAAAGTGGGTTACCCAGATGAACCTCTGCAGAAATCATCTGCAGTATTTGGACCTATTGAAGTTAATGGGAGCTTCAGCTTTGAACAGACTTTGCCTCAATCTCTTCAGAATAAAATCCCAGGATTGTCCTCTTTTACTACTCACATATTAGTGCCCAGAACAACAGCTCCACTTTATTACAAACTTATTTTATGGCTTCTAGGCTAGGTACATCACATCAGTGATGAGGAAAGGCAGCATTTTCCATCTGAGTAGTTCCCTTTGCTGCTGTCAATGTATAGTGCAACCACAGACTGCAACACCAGTCCCACTCATCTGGAGCAACAGTAGATGCAACAGCAATTAGTGATACCTTCATTAAGCAGTGAACTTCAGAGTCCTTCATGTTACACGAGCTCACTCTGCGCTCATCCCATGAACACGTGGATGTTATGTTGAGATGCAGATAAGGCTTTGTTCCAAAAAAGCCTATTTGGTGAAGTGGCCCATGGCACAGATGGTATGTGTATTGCCTGATAGCAGTGGGGTTTTTCAGATACACCCATTTCTACCAAAACTTTCTGAAAAAGAAGTCAGCTGCAGCCAGTTGTGAGATCTGATACACAGAGAGAGAAACGCAGACCTCTGCAGTTAAACTCCTTAGCAGAGTTACGAACCATGGAATAAAGTCTCTACTGGGGGAAGTAGAGAGCAACTTAAAAGTTCAGGTGCAACTGTTAGGAGACACACACACACACACCTGCTCAGGCAGCATAAAATAAGCAGAGGCTTAACAAGAGCTTTTCAGCCCAAGCACGTTGCCTGTGCTTAGCCTAGTTCTGATCAGCTGGTAGCAGTCCTTTCTAAGGTAAGGAGAATTTGGTTTCTCTCTCTTATGCTGTATGATTGTTTTGTAGATTTTTTTAGTTCATCTGTGGTGGAGTGAAGGGCTTGTAATGAAAAATTCATTAAATTAGTTACTTTTGTTCTATTTTAAATCACTTGGAAATAGATGTTGACTTTGATTGATTTGCTTGTGGCTTGAAGTGGTGTTATGCTCTCTATGCAAACACAGTGTATCCTGTAGGAGGCTTTACTATGTATCTTCACTGCATCTGCTGTCCTTGTTATTAATTATGCTTGGTAAATTCACAGTGCAAAGTGTAGAATGTACTTTCTGAATGTCTAGCAAGAGTTTCAGTTCTATATGTGCTTTTTAAAGCAAGGTATTTACTTTATAGGAAACAAATTTCAACATAACTAGTTGTGGAGCCTTGCTTTTGCTGTGCTATATTCACTCAGATGTGAGAGATCCTCAGGTTTAGCCAGAAATATTTACAGATATAGATACTAATCTTGAAATGAGTCTGTTAAATAGAGTAAAAAGTTACGTGTTGGTGTTGGACTCCATCTGCAAAATCTCATTAGAAGGTCAGGGCCTTAATTTTTCCGTTCAATAAAATATAGCTGCAAATCCCACAATACTTTCGGGCACCTTTTGTCTCAATTTGATTAAAGCCTGCTTTTCTTGAATTATTTTTTTAGAAAATCATTGTTATTTTTAAATTATTGTTTACATTTTGGAGGGGTTTGGAGGGTTTCTTTTCCAGTGCTATCCATATTTCAACTTTTTTAATCAGAAATGTCTGACAAAGCACATCAGTTGCTAGGTTTGTTTGAATACATAAATAATTATAAGAGAAAAAAGTAATTTCCTTTCAAAAGTAATGAAAAAGATTTCATGTCACTTGGTACAAGAGCAAACAATACAGCAGGAGCAAATATTTCTTATATTGAGTAACAATGAGTCGGCACGCAGTCATCTGGTGTATAATGAGAAGGCATTTGTAATTCGTTCATCCCACTTAGTCTTTCTTTCTTCACCTGCTGCAGCTCCTCACCAGTCTCATACAAACAGCAAATCCCCCCATTTCTCTTAAGGGTTTGCTCTCTTTTTAATCTTGTTTTCCATTGTTTCATTTTTCCTGTTGTTTTACTGGCACTTGGTGCCTAAAGTCCAGCAAAGGATTTGGTTTGCTAGTATCCCACATGATATTTCTTCCTGTTTAATGTGGGCAAATCAAGGCACATCCCTAATTGTGCAGCAGTGAGAGCCATCCCTGTGCACACCTCACCAGTGCTTTCAGAACCAAGCCAGGAGTCGCTCAGGCTGAGACAACAGTTTCCTTTTGAGATTACTCAGCTTCATAATGGGTGTCGATAATTTCCTTCTCCAGCTTCTCCTACAAGATTAATTGGTTTAGTACCTGAGCCTCTGTAAATAGCAGGTCCAAAGTATTATACTAGAGCCCAAAGCTGGCTCTGCACTTTGCATGGGGAGAACCTGCTTCCCAGGCCCCATACCAGAGTGGCACATGGGGCAGATAGGCAGCATGCCGGTGGCTTCCTACTGCCGGAGCTGTGTTTGGAAAGCAGTGGCTGTGCAGCTTGTGTGCCCTTGCCCACCTCTGTGCCGGGTGTACATGTCTGTAGGCAGAAGCGGGAAACTGGCTGAACACTGATGGAATCATAAAAGCCATGATCTTATCAGGGTATATCTTGCTGATAAGAACCTACTTCTGACTTACAAATGGTTTGGCACCGCTGGCAACACAAAAGCCAGAAATACAGCAGCCTTTCTCACAATGGGGGTGCCATGCTTGTGGCTAATAACATTTAATGCTTAGACAAGCAGATGCAGGGCAACAACCCTCCCTTGTACGATTCCCTCCTGCTCCCCTCCCCCAGATCCCTCCTGCCACTTGCTGACGCCATTTGCCTGGGAGTGGAGGTGTCTGTGAGCTCTGAAAATTGGATCACAGGGATAGCTCTTTGCTGGCCCTGGTCACGCTGACGGCAAGACTCGATCAATCAATACTCTGTGTGACACTTTCAGAATTCATTGGAAATGATGTCCTTTCCAAATGACACCCACATTTTATCAAGGGCAGCTCCAACAGCAAAGCACCAAGTGTGTTTTTGCAAGATACGTTTTGTTAGTAGTAAACTTCACTTTATTTGTAAGGTTCTCTGTATTTGGAATTTCTCCATCTTTCCCTTCAACCTCCCTTTTGAAGAGGGCAGAGATTTAATCTTTAAAGGTAGCTTTGTAGCCTGACATTTAGAGTGTGAGCCGCTCCTAAGCCTGATGTTTATTGTGACATATGGCCTCTTCATGTAAAAAACAGTAAGCTTTGGGGGAGAATTTAAAAAGTAGCCTGAAGCTCATAGCACACAGCTGAAAACTGGTTCACAATTTCATCCAAAATATT